TTCATCGGTCATTTTTGTCAGGGCCCTTTTTGTAACCGAACAATTGTTCCCTCAGTGTGGCCAAGGAAATAAGCTTTAAATTCTATTTTTAGATTTAAAATAATTTTAAATAGATATCTTCGTATTTGAATAAACATTGTTGAACGACTCTCAACCAAAAAAGTACAAAATTATGTTGTGTGAAATTGGGCATTAAAAGTTCATTGCCAAGTTGTTTGTAGGCATGCATGGCGTGCAGGTATTTTCTGTAGATGTTAAATACGTTCACTCCTTTCCTCTCCACTCGCACTTGTCAGGTAATCGAACGAAATCGAAAAATGCTGATGAAAGTAGCAGGCCCTGCGGTGACGAGCAATTAATTAACAGTCTCAAACTGATCATTTTCAATTACGTCAATTATGTCAAAGGGCTTTCAGGCTCTACATGGAATAGACAAAACAAGGGCAGTGTTCGAGCTTTTAAGGCTGCCGTTGTGAACGCCAGTCTTAATCCTGCATTGGTCAAGTTTATAGCTTCAATTTCACAATAAGCAAGCTGTCTCGCTTTTCCCCAAAATGTCTGTTAATCAGACGAGCTAATATTGGCAGTGCCAAAAATATATTGTTGTTTACATACTATTGAACTCGCCAAAAGTAACCAACTAATGATAAAAAAAACGAGAGAACTGAAAGACCCACCCTGGCTTACAATGAAATGCCAAATATCGATCCTGTGATGTTGCGCAAAAGCCGCGAAAGCGATTGAATTTATAATCAGGGGGTGCATGAAGATATAACAATTGCTTGAGGGAGGGGAGGGGGTGGCTACTAATGTAAGTTTTGAGAGCCAACTGACAGACCCAGACCCCTTGTATTTTCGAACAAATGAAGGCTTCTCTAACCTGCTTGTCGCGGACCCAAAATGGCGCCCAAATGTTACTTTAGAAATTAAAGATAACGCAATTTTAGGTTACCAGAAAAAAGAAAACGGTCAAAAATTATTTGAAAATCTGAATAAAGTGTGAAACGTGGCAGCAAAGTTTATTAACGTAACGAAAAAGTATCTAAAGCCATATTAAATGCGAAAATTTAACCACAAAGTGGCTAAAAATTTGAAATATGTCGAATAGAAGACGCCAATCTTGAAGTCAACAAACATCAATAAAAGATTCAACTGGTCTTGAGTGGAAAGTGAGAACCATTGTCTTTCATCCAATCAGATTGAAGATTCCTTTGTGTTCACGTGGTAAACTCAAAATTCTATTTTTGGCTGTGTTTGAAACCGGACTCGAAGAGTTTGTATATGTATGCTTCTTGTCTTACCTGTTGGCTTACAGTGTTCCAGGGCAACTTTAAATTTCATAGGTTTACTCTTGCTGACATTGTGTTAACCGTTTCTTCGTGATTTGAATTCCTGTGCACTCTCCGCAGTGTAAACTGTTTGAGAAAATCGAGCCTGGAATTCCCGCGTTACTACGCTACGAGCGATAATTTTACCCGAATTCCGGTTGTTTGGTGCTCAAGAAGCAAACGAGAGGATTGAGTTTTAAGTGATAAAACACCGTTGTAATTGTATAGAAAGGAGAAGAAAGCCCGGCAACTGGCGTATGGAATTATGGCCATGACGTCGCTTCTTTCAGCTGAACGGTTGTGTCAGACCTGAATATAAAGAACCACAAGGCCTTCGCTTGGCGTGGAAGCTTCGAAAGTTTTTAATTTGGCGTGGCGTAATCATCCAAGAAATAGAAATTAAACGTACACTGTTTTCTTCTCAACATGGCTCCGGTATCCTGGGCTGGGATTTCAACAAGGTAGTGTATTGATAAAACCTGTAAAATGGATGAAGACGAGCAGGATGTTTACGTGGCACAGCTTCATGAAGTATTCGACAGTTGTGACCACTCTGGAAAGGGTTTCCTCAACAGGAGCGAGCTTGTCGAGTTATGCAAAAAACTACAGCTCGATGACCAAGTTCCACAACTGCTACAGCAGTTATTGGGGAGCGAAGAGGCTGAAGGGCAGGTACGTGGAAAAATTTCACGCTTGTTCACCGATAAACTTCGATGCCGTGGCGACAGATATTACTGGCGTCTGCGAGGCCATGTTTTCGAAGCTTATCTTAATTCAATACTCCTTATATATCCTGTCATTGGAGCATTGCTCTTAGTTTACGCTCCTAGTGACAATTGTATCAATCTTGTTTATGTTTCTGCCCGTGAGTTTAGTATTCGGCAGTATCATTCACTTGTAGATCGTTTTGTTTATTACAATGTAAGTAGAAATGTTTCGCGGGTCGTGAACAATCGGTTTGTTTACTTGCGGAATCATCGTTCGAGAATCAAATTGCTTCATATACAAGATGTAAATTTCATTGTCGATTTCAGATTTCTGGCGTTCAGTGATTCCGTTAGTTCATTTGTTATTGACATGTGACTGGTATTGCAGGTTAGCACGCTAACTGGGTTAACACAAAGTTTTCTTTAAGTTATTGCTACTGACACCCAAAGTGTTTCTTGTAAGAGTTATTGCCAGGGGCTTATGTGATCAGTATAATCACCAGGGCATGAAAAACAATTGCTAACCTTTCTCTTATTTTGTGAAGATGCCTACATGTATATTTTTTCCAATCAGCAAGCACTGTTCATTAATCTTTTTCTGGTGGCCAATCTGTTTCCAGATGGTTTTGTAGCTTGATACATCTACATAAATGTAATTACATCCTGAATTATGTGATATTATTTATTATGCATACCCCTTGTTGTGAGTTTGTTTGAAGTAACAAATTCCTCACTGATCAAACAGTGTAGTGACAATTTACTCACTTTTCTATTATCTGCTTGTTCTAAAAGTTCACCAAACTTTGCACAGGAACATGTGAAATCAACTACATGTATATGCAAGGAGATTATTTTATTCACTTTTGCATGAGATCTGCAAGGGAAGCTGATTATAAACTTCTTAACTTTGCAAAGAGTTACAATGCATTAATTCTGAAAGCAATATTTTCAAGGATTAGCCTGAGCCTTTGGAATTCTTTATCTAACCTTTAATTGGCACGTAACCTAAGTCTTTTGTTTTATGGTTGGATCAACATATACACATGCAAAATATACAACTGGAGCATTAATGAAGGTTGTTTGATGATACACACTGAGCTGTTAGGCATTTTAAAGTATAGATGTACATAAGCATGTAAGAACTAACTATATAATGTCCTGGTGTTTCAGCGACCTTGTGACGCCATTATCAAGGAATGAATAAATGAAAGCTAGTTCAAAAGAGTAAGACCTGTAGATTTATATAAATGAAGTTATGTTAGACCAAGACTTAAGTTGTTTCAAAGTGTTGAAAAAATGTAGGAACAATTGACTGTAAATTAATGAAATGCTTCACATCAAACAATTAAGACCACGTCGGAATGTACAAACAGATTTGTTCAGCGCTAAAGTCTTTGTGTAACTTAACTTCATTTATGTAAATCCACAGGCCTTACTTCCTTTGAACTTCCTGAAACATCAGGACATTATATCATTAGTTTTTACTTGCTTATGTATTTCAAAAGCACGGATGTAAATGACAGGAAATACATTCTCTGTACAGTGTAATTCCTGTAACCATGGCTGTTGATATCCAGTTATTTAATAATAGAACCTGAGTTGATTACAGATAAAAATGTTGATAATGCATGTCGTGGACAGGATGATGGACTAGAAAGACAAAACCTGAAGGCATTCTGCATTGTTGTTTGTCCAGTTAGTAATAAAATTTTTCACTCAGAAAGCCAGCTTACTAATTCCAGTAATATAGTTAGCATATGGTTTATTGACCAAGCAGTAGTTGAAGATGCCTGGATATTGGCCAACATCTGTTTAACTAGTTTTTGTACCAAGATGCAATCTAGGTTGATAAACATACATGTACACAAAAAAGATCAAGGCCATTTTATATCCAGGCATCTTGACTGAATAAACTTTGTCAGTAAAGGATGTTATTTTATCGTTATTATGGCATACAGGACACTGTTTTATTTTAGGATACATATACAGTGGGCAACGCTTGCTGGGGTAGCTGTCCACAGTGCAGGATTTGGTTCAACTTGCTCACTTGTGGAGCTAGCCATATGATAAGATTGGTTACATACATTATACTCATCTAAAACTTGTCTGCAAATTTTGCATATAATTATAGCTAAATGTTATACTGTAATATGGGCTACAGTGTACACTTTAAGAGAAAACATCTTTTTATTAATGTCATTCTGTGAGGGCTATTAGAACTGAAAATCTTGTGGACAAAATGCACCTAATATCACTGTAATTCCAGTTTTACAGTATATTGGTTGGCATCTAATGCATTAGTCCTACTGGATTCCATGGCAAGCATAGCAATAGATTACATGAAACCATACTTTTAAAGAGGAGCAACTAGACATAAGAAAATTGATTTGAATAGTTTTATTTTAATTACATTTAAACTGTACGTGTCTGCGAACTTCATAAAACAATGGTATTCACCAGATGTCTTTGCCTGCACATTATTATGTGTAACTTTGGGTTAGTACCTGTACTACACTCGTGTAGTTATTGTGCAAGCTAAGAGTTGCTTTTGAATTCTCAACATGCAGTGATCAACAGGGACAATATTGTACAGCTTTACCTCTTTACATTACACACATCAGATGCCTTGCCAAGCTGAGAGATTCACAAAAGCTAGTACATTTTTACAGTTGATTAACTGTGTGAATATGCACACATAATTATCTGAACCACTTTGTACAAGGTTGTACACACATGAGTATGTGTAACATGAAAGATGTTTAAGCTGTAAATTCAGCTGAATAAGTATGTGTTAGTGATGTTGTAAAAGATGGTGTTTGAGCTCAATCCTTCTCAGCCTTAAGAATTATATCAAGATTCCACAAGCTTTTGTTTACTTATTGCTTGTAAATTACTGCATGCACCTGTTTCATTGGAAAGAAAAATGATTACAGCTTCTCTCAAGTTATTTGAAAAATTATCGGAAAAAAGCAGAAATAAAATTGTCTTTTTGGTCTTATTATTTCATTACGAAGAGCTTTAACCTTTAGACTGATGAACAAAAATGTTTACCAAAGTTTGATATAAGATAGAGAATTCAAAGTGACTGTTAATAAAGCTGGTGGTAGAATTATTAAGGGGACTGAGGTTTGAAAGCTTTTGTGAAGTGCAACAGGTGACTTGAGTGTGCTGTTTGTGAACGGCTTGTGGTGGGACATGCTAAGTTGGTGTTTACATTGAAATGTAGTGGTGCAGAGAAATGTTTCAGACGTAGATTCAAAATCACAGAGGAGTGTTTGGGAACTTTGACAGTTGAAATGACCTTACAAAAGCATCATAGCTGCATCGTTCTTTTTGTGTGTTGCTTAACATTTATGTGATATAGTTTCAAAGATTCAGTTTGTGATGAATATTATATGAGGTTAAAGCACCTGTTCTCTGACATCATTTCTGTGCTCTGTTTTTTTCCTGTTTTTTGTAAGGTTTTAAACTCATTCCTTTGTTGTGGAAGCCTTTTGGTTGGCTTTTTGTAAACTAAATCCAGTCTGCTCCCTTCACTGTTCTGCTCTCATTATGAAAGAGCTAGTATGTGATTACCTTGCTAAGGAGGTCACTGTTAATGGCAGAAAACTCAATGTAAGTAGCAGAGTGCCGATATCAATCCAAGACTAAAATAAATGGTGCATGTACATAAATTTACAGAATTGTTAGTGCTTGCCTTTGAATTTCATGGACTTTCCAACATCTTTGTGACAAGTTGATTTCATTCTTTGAACAGTATTTTATGTTGTGAAAGTAAATTTGGAAAAAATACACAATCATATATCTACAAGTAGCAGTCCTATATACACCATAGCCTCTAAGTGGTTCTAGTGTCTTCATAGTGCATTGGCTTAGTTAATTTTTGTTTCCTGTTTTAAGCTGAACTTGAAGTGCATTTATCAGTATTATTATATTTCCTGATCTGTTTGAGAGTCTAAGATCCGGTGAATGGACAAATTCACTGCCTGCTTTATTAAGCTTGACCAGAGTTCACTATCTACATTGTACAATATGCATGTACTTTCTTCAAAATTGCTAATAGTTGAGTGACATGAAGACCATGAATCAAATAACCTATGGAGGTTCCACTACATGTAGTGCAGCATATTGTCTTAAGCAGGTAATTCTGCATGACTGGAAAAATATTGAAGTTCACTCTGTTACTTTTATCATGACACCTGATTAAGATGCAAGTAGGGGATGTGATGTACAGTGGCAACTAAATTTGTATAACATGTGGCAACAAGACAATGAAATACTGACAGAAGCTTTACGAGCATCCAAATCTCCAATATGCAGAGGCCAAAGAGATGGCTATCTTGTGTGTGACAGTAGAAGTGTACCATGGAAACCCAGGGGTAGATAGTCAGTTCAGGAGGAAATCAAATGGGCAAAAGTGGTGCTAAAAAAAAAGCTTTGACTTATTTTATTTCCCAACTGACCTGACTTTGTGTACTTGTGAACAGTGTACTGTATGTATATATCTGCCCTGGCTGGGTTTATGTACATGTAGTGTTTTGGTATGCCAGTCTGACAAGAACTTATAGCGTAGCAACTGCACAATTTATAATGTGTGGTGTCCGGTACTGTAGGATGGTCTCTGTTAGCAATGCACATTCAATGAATTGTAATTGATTTTGTATGAATTTGATGTGTAGGTGACATTTGATGACTTCAAAGAAGGATTTGTAGCTGTGCTGTCTCAAGCAATTGAACAATTATCCTCTAGTGAGGATGAAGAGCAACCATCTGATTCTACTGCAGGTGTTGAATCTAACTTTATTGCCAGTTTAATTAATTTTTTGTCATGCAAAAGACAGCCATGCATGTACATATGTACATGCATTTTGTCTCAGCCAGTTATTACTGTATGCAAACAGTACCTTGCTTTGTAGCAGTAAAGTATACAGTATACTGTACATGTTTGTTTACGAGTTGATCTCCTGCAGGGCAAGTCAAATACAAATGACAAGTGCAAACAGCCACACAACGCACTTACCTTTCTAATAAGAGATTAATTTTATTATCCAACTGGTCTAAATAATTATAAGTACTTGCCCTTATATGTCTCCATCAGGTAAGTAAATTAGCTGAAAAAAAATCTAACTCAGTGGCATCACAAGAAATTTGCACTCTTTTCACTGCATGTTACATGTAGTTGTACATTTATCACATGTACTTGTTTCCACGTTATTTATTTTTGGTTTTTACAAGAGCATGATTTGTACTCTACTGTCTGAAGTTAGTTGAGCCTGAAAAACCACTTTGAGTGAACTCAAAAGTGTTTTGTACACTGCACATGTAAATCAAATTGACAATTCATTGTTTATTTTCAGAACCACCCAAGCTAGTGGTAAATGAGAAGCGTTATGGAAGATGGTCACGACCCGATGCATCTTACTCAGAAGATCTGTACTCTGCTGATGATGAGAGCATGATTGAAAGTCGGCCGGAGAGCCGTCTGAGTGACTCTCATCTCACATCAGAAGTAGATCACCACGAGGCCCCTACACGAGAGGTGAGAACACTCAGGGTGCTTTCCTTTGGGATGATCTGGATCGGGACCATAGGTCAAAGATTACTTGAATCATGGAACATCAAAAGTTCCTTTAATGTACCATGATCTGAGTGATCTTGGACATTGGTTTTGATGGGATCATCCTAATGGAACCCACCCTCAGATAAACTTAAATTATCAGTTAAAAACAGTAAGTCCACGATATATGTTACATAAATCTTCACTAAAAAACTTTTTTAAGATACCTACTGTACTGAAGGACTAGATTTACTAGTAATTTGAAAAGGCAGTGAATTTTAAAGCTTTGGTGTGCAAAATGAATTGGATCTATATCCACATGATATTACCTCAGATTAGATGAGGGCGACTTCAGCATTAAACTTTATACTCGATTTACATGTACCAGCAGGATGGACAGTTAGAAATATTTACCAACTAAAAAGATGTCAAACGTTTCTGGAGAAACATGTTAATTGTTTGTTTGTGTTTTCTTTTAAGTGCATCACATAGAATTTGACGGCCTTTGTATTTTCATACTTGAAGCTCTCAAATTTCAGCTTCAAAGCTCTAAAGCATACTAATAAAAGTGTATTAATTCGAACTGTGATCTTAATTTGTTTTCCAGGAAAAGCCTAAGTTAAAGAGAAGACTATCAAGCAGAAAGAGTAGCCTGAGGAACAGTATACGTCGTCACAACTCCAAGCAAAGGAAGTCACGTGAAGACTCTGTGATTGTGAATGACTCAGATGGATTGGATGGAGGAGGACCATCGAGTGCATCTCCTCATCCCAATGGAGTTAATTCAGGTGTGCTTCTAAACTTTGTGGAGCTCGGTCTTGACCTGTGCTTTCAATAATACCTAGCACCCTCTAGAGATTCAGGTAACAGGGCTTGAAAAAAGTGCCGTTTGGTCATGTGAGAGAAGTTTTGTACTAGATTTTCCAGCCAGCCAAGTAACTTTTCATTCTCACTTGCACGATGGGCAAGGGCCAGGCACGTCTTCTGCTGACTAAATGAAGGAAAGGGCTAAGACGTCTTTGACAGTTGCTTGTCTAAAGGACAAGATAGAATTCAATTCTTTTAAGCCCTGGTGGGCATTTTGTTGGAATTGCTAGGCATAATGTTGGCAATTTTCAAAACTTGGTCCTCGAAAGAATTTATTTGTTGTGGGTATCTCTAACTGCTCTCTGATGAGTGCTGTGCCAGAGCATCCACTTACTTCAAGTCATATTGACCAAGGAGCATCATGATGGAATTCACTCTGTTCCCAAGAATTGGAAGTGACTTGACCTTTTACTTTTTACTGTGACAACATCCTTGATTGTGTAGTGTTTGATAAGCATGGTTTTGTCAAAAAGGAGAGTTCTACCGGTAATAGACAGAAGATGAAAATTACATTTTTTTTTTTGTTTCATTGTCAGGGTATGAGTCACCCAGTGAAGAAGATCAGTTGCGAGCAATCTGGAATGAAGTAAATGTTGGTGCGACTGGTTTTCTGGACAAACATGAACTGTCAGTGGTGTGCGATCACATCGGCATGGACTCCATGAATGAACAGGTTTGTAAAATAAATATTCAAAAATCTAAGCTTCAAGGATAAATCTAGGATTTTTCTTAGGAGGAGTACACCACTAAGGAATGGTGTAACTGACTGGCAAGGTAAACAAATTTTAAAAGAGAATGTGAAGAAGAAGGCTTCATCTCAGGGGGGTGGGGTGTACACCCCCTGCATCCTCCCCCTAGATCCACCCCTGAGAATTGCTATCACAAAATGCTTGCATGTTCCTGTATCTCTGAAATGTGGTTCCTTATTGGCCAATGGATGGAGGCTGGTTTGGCAAAAAGCCTGCTCCCCAAACCCTCCACTTGTGTGACTATATTTGGAACTGTAATACTTGGAAATAAAAATTTGGTTGAACTTTTTTTCTTACTTGTATAAGAACATATTTAATATGTGGTTGTTTAAATATTTTTAATTATTTCAGGAGCTGGCTCTCCTGTTTGAGGAGCTGGATGAAGATGGTGATGGTCATGTGAGCTTTAATGAGTTTCTTCATGGTCTGTTTGCGGCTAAGGACTTTCAACAATCTGACATAGAGCCTGAGTGGGAGCAGCAGCAGCAGTCCACACCTTACAATCAGGCACCACCAGCAAACTTCACTTCCAAAGTAAGGGTCTGTTAACAAATAATAGTAATTAGTCATGTCTTCAGGATTTACAGCTGTGCCTGAAGAGTTATGTCTCTTCTCTTGTGTTCAATTTATCTCCCTTGTTTCTGAGTTGGTAACTTTATGTGTCACAGTGCAATGTCTTTCTTTTCTGATTTCATGCTTTCAGAAGAGACTATAATAATATTGCTTCCTCAACTCAGAAAGAGATGGGGGGAAACCCAAAATGTGGAAAATATTAGTATGGGATTTACATACTTGAGCCAAGTATTACGTCCACTGAACATAAAGGGCCAACCCACACACAACCGTTCTCATGTGGCTTTGATAGCTCAGTTGGGAGAGCATTGCACCAGTATTGCAAAGGTCGTGGGTTTGAATCCTGTTCATAGCCTGAAAAAATATTTTTTCAGGTCTTTTTTCCAGTAGTGTTATGGCTGCATTTGCATCTATCATCATGGAAAATATTAATTTGAATATTCAGCTTTGAAGGGAAAAGCACCAGAATCAAGAGAATGTCTTGGACCCTGAGGGTACTTTTAGGTGTATTAATGATGTACCAAAGCCAGATTCCTGTGGCTTTTTTGCCAGCCACATGTACATATGCAGTTGTAGAGGAGGTAATGTACATGAAATTGTAATTTTTTGTAATGTAGTTGACATCTGTTCTTTACAGGGTCAGAGAAGATCACTCAACCAAGACGACTCTTTTTTCCTATCAAGAACGGGTGGAAGCAGTTCAACATTTGGTAAGCAAAGTACAAAATAATTACCACCAATGTAACTAAATTAACTGATTTGTCTTTGTATTGTCTCTTGCAGATCTTTTTACACTTCTAGATCCAGAAAATACAGGGTGAGTCCTGAAATTAAGCATACATGAGACACTTCTCTATTGTAACTTAGATGTTAATTTGTTTATCGGGATTATGTCTTATCCAAAGTTTCTACAGAAAAGTGCATGTAATAGGTCTTGAGGAAGTAGCCAATAAGGCCAGCCACCTACTCCAAAGATGAAGCTAAAACTTCAAACTTCTTTATAAGAATTTTAATTCTGTAGCTCAGTGGTTAGAGAGCCTTTGCAGTATCAGGGATGTCCTGAATTGGAATGTGGTCTTTTTTTCTCTTTGTTTCAAAGTGGCATTTGCAAATCGCCATTGCTAATGACATTCTGATAAAACAAAGAAAATAGCAGACCTGCTAATCCAGTCCCAGACTTCGTTTGTCCCACACTTGCTACATATTGAACATTTCACCTTATAAGGAATTCAAGTTGATAAACAAAAATTATTTTTGTGAAGAAACAAAATGTTCAATCTAATATGTTGCATTGTCTTTTTTTTTTTGTCTTGTTGTTGTTGTTTTTTTTATTTAGTTTTACTAAAAAAGAAGATATTAAAGAGACCTGGCTGGCCCAGGGATTAAACGAGGCCATTCCGCTTCTAGAGGTATTGTGTTGATTGAATGAATGTTCGATCCCTTTAAGTTGCAATCCGCCTACTGCCGCACAATGTACAGAGAACAGGTACATGCATGGTGACCTTGTCAATAATTCTTACTTTGAATTTCCTCTTTACAGGACCTAGAGATGGACGTGGAAGGTAAAGTGAGTCTTCATCAATTAACCAACTTACTGGAATCTGTTGTGGAGGAGCAGAGTGACGGTAAGTTAAATAACGCTTAGATGAAAGAGGGTTTTTTATTACATGAACGTGACATTGGGGGAGTCATCTTTGCTGTTCACATAAAGCCCCTCCCCTCCTCTCCTTGTCTTCCCCTCCTCCCCTCCTCTTCGTCCTACCCTCCCCCCTTTCTCCAGCTCTCCCTTTTAACATACGTGTACATGTAAAATCTCTTAAGCGTCTTGAAGTGCTATGATACTAGTGTAAATAACGAGTTTAGAGCTGCACCACTGATCCGCTAGTTGTACAGTGTATGAAGCCAATGAGGGAAAAATAGCTAGTGCAGAGGTTGGGGTTGGCAAAAACATCGTTTTGGAGTTTTCTCAGTCTAAGCTGATCAAACTGAGATCCACTAGTAACCCAGCGATAGTCTAGTAAGGTTTCAGTCAGCTAATCTGGAAAGACAACACCTAGCTTTCGGACATCGAACTTGACTTTTGTCACACGCTGAGTTGTGATCAGACTATTAAAAACCTGCAAAGAACACTATTGGTAATGATCCCAAGGGATGGATAGAAAGACAATCACAGATACAAAACAACACACAGAGTCACTTAATGCAGCCTCGTGTTCTACTTCTAATTCGTACAGTGCTACATGTAACTTAAGACAACATTTTGCTTTATTGTCGTTGTAGGTCTACCAAAAGCGGTTGTGAATATCTACAAACACGAAGTTATCCATCTAAAGTAAGTGTAATAAAAAGATTACCGCTGAATAACTCAACAGTTTAAGTTCAAAAACTCAATCTTTATGATATAAGCTGTGTGCAAATGAAAGAAGTGCATGACTTACATGTATTCTCTTACCGAAATTCTGCGTCTCAGTTCATCGAAGTTACTCTCGTTTTGGTCTGGGCTTGCGCTTGACAACGTTGGTCGAATGGAAATTCCTGTTCAGTTCTCAGTTTTAGAACTCTGGCAAATCTCGACAACCCTAAGCAGCCAAACAAGAGTGCTGGCCGAACCTTGAAATTTCGTCTACGCTTGAAACAGTTGTAACCTGCTGCTCACTTTAGGGCAGCTTCATGTTCTTGTATCATTCCGTGTGATATCAGCTCATGATGTGACTCGAGATTTGACACTTGCTTCTATTTTGTACTTGTCGCCCTTTCATTCTGACAATTGCTTACCGCGATTGTTTTGTGTCGTGTTTTCTAGCAAAAAGGATTTTTGCAAAATTTTACGCTGAAATTTGTTTGTATTAGTAACTCTTTGTTTCCTTCACGTATTGAAATTTGATAAGTGAGGTGAAGACGTCAGTAATAAGGCGGAAGGAGTAACCCATTTTATTTTCGGGCGTATCATGGTGTCATTTCTGTTTTTTGAACCAGTACTTGTTTGTTTACATGTCGCACGCGCGCGGGCGCGGTGCCTTGTCACTTTCCTGTGCCTTGATTGGCAGAAACGTTCGTTTCCTCCCACTTTTGGCGGGACTTTCTAGGGTGTAGCTATTTGACAAGCCAAGTGATCTCAATTGGAAACACTGTCCAACCTCCACTTCCCGGCTAAGACATTTTATTTTGTGCTCAATATTTCAGTTCTGCACCTTCCCACGCGTAGTTAGCAGATATAGTTAGTTCTTAACGGTGATGCTCGGGCCGTAGAGGCTGAGAAATTTATCTCTCGAATGGCGAGGTCGCCATTAGAAATACGACAAATCGAAGGCAAAGAATCGTCTTTGCGGTATGACGCCGAATCAGAATCCTTTTCATCGGACAAAGACAAAAACAAAGGGCTCTCCGATTTTATGTCACGTCTTTCAAGGTAGCTGTAATTTTATTAGTTAATCTTTTTTCTGACAACTTGATTGTTAGACGTTTGTGCATTTACATTTTACCTCGTCTAAAAGGATGATACTAAAATAATCTTACTTTCAAAAGTAAGAATAAGTTTATTCCGTAATGTACCTCAGGTTGTGGAGAACAAGTGTTATCCGATTGAGCAATCAAGCTCGATTCTCTGACAAGATTTCACTAATTATTTCTCCATTGTTGTGCGTGTTTTGTGCAATTGACGTTTTTAATTTAGGTATTTCATCCGATAATTACCTCTTGAATCTCCAATTTCTATGCCCCAGTCAGAATGGCGATCGGATTGCGTTTGGTTACGCCTCAATGCCAGTTTGAAAGAAGACATTTTGTAGCGAGGATATTTGACAAAAGTATTTCGGCGAAACTAGTGTTGTACTCGCAGTAACGGGCAAAGTGTTTTCCTTTCATTGTTTTGTCTGAAGTAATAGAAACACTCGCAATTAGCGCTTCCTTTTTTGTTTTACACGTCGACTTGTAAATTATTAATATACTTAATCTCCCTCTTTCTGGGTCGCCCATAATGTTTATTGTAGAGTCGCTTGTTTGTATATGGCGTTGTTAATCTTGAAAATTTTTCGTCTCAGGTCTCAGGTAGAGTCAGTAGTCGCCGAACGAGATGCTCTCAAGGAGAATCTGTCTAAATTCACGGAAGAGAAGGAGATGCTTATTGTCGAGAGCGAGGATACTGCACAGAAATTAGAAAAACTACACGAGACGAAAATGAGGTGAGAGTTTGGAAGAGTCCGTGTGCAAATTCTCGTGTCCTCTTCACGCCAATCGACAGTGCCGTCTTATGCACGATCTTCATACTTAATCTTCATACTGGACCCCATATTGTTCTTGTAATGTTAGTTTAGAGACTTCAGTAGTTCATCAAGACAATATCGTCTCTTTCACTGTGGATGATTCTCTTTGTCTCCTCACCTGTCTCATATTCCTCACCTGTATTGATATTTTGAAGAGAAACTAGACGTTTAATTATTGTTCTTGGAAATTTAAAGGTTTATCAGAATCAGTCGATCGTGAGATTAACACCTGTATGAATGTCAATGAATTCTCGTGGAGATAAATTTCTTTTTGCCACCTGCTAGCGTGAGAATTCTTATAGAAGTAATTTAATTTATTTTATGTAAATAAGACAACCTGGAACATTTTTCTAACAAGAACACTCAGCTGTGTGCAGTAAGATAGGCCAGCAGTCGACAGGGTCATTCTAAAAAATAAATGTAGAAACTTAGTTTCGTTCTCGCCAGGCAGTGAGCAGCCTTTGGCCATGACATAGATCTCAATATCAAATCTCCTAACTGATTGTGATACATTTCGTTAAGTATGAGTTCTAAGAATTTGTTGCTACTGTTCATCTACACAAGATCTTCTAATTCAAGATTTGCCCTATAGACCTTTCCCGCATTCCACTTCAGTGCGTTCGAACAGTAGCTCCAGAGCGAGGTGGGGTGGACATTTTTATACATTTGCCATTGTTTGTCGAAATGCTGGAAAGGTCTATTCAAGTAACGTACCTGCTTGACAAAAGAGGGAAACTCTTAACGAGGATATTATCCCAGGGAGGTATTATCCCAGGGAATTTACTGTACATGTACCTCACGAGGCCTTCGTTGTACTTTTTTCCCCCCAGGGATCAAGAAAATCTCTACACGGAAAAGATGCAGAACTTGCAGCAAACACTGGTAGAAGAACGAGACAAAATTTTACAGAACGCTAGTCAACAAAGGTCCGTGCTAGAAGAATCACTTCACAGCACTAAGACCGAAGAACAGCGTCTAAGAACCAAACTGGCTGAAGCCGAAGAGGTGGGTCTGCTTGCTTGCTTGTTCTCTGTTTTCCCTCACGCGAATCAAAACAACAACAACAACAACCAACCATTTTTTTTTTTGCCAGATTTACAATAAAAGAAAAATCAGCACAAAAACAATTGATTTAATTAGGCAAAGAAAGTGCTTTGATTGTAAGAAAACTAAACGAGTTGAGTAGATAGAAAACGTTAATGTGCTTTACCTTGGTTGCAACATGCATAGTCAAAGAGAAGAAAACACAAAGAAAAAGATAATAAAAAGATAAAAACAAAAAGCTGATGTATTTAATGAAATTGCAAGATCTCAAAAGCTACGCACTCTTTGTCTCACTTTGAAGAAGTTCCAAACGGAGTATACATGTACATTTTATTTGCATTCGAATTTAAACTCAGTTCTTCTTTTATTAGGAAATCTTGCGGCTCGAGAAAGCGCTATCAGAATCTCAGGAGAAACTCGTCGAATCGGAAAACGTCCGAGAGAGACTGGAGAAAGAATTGGAATCCATGTCAGATCTGTCAAGCAGGGTAACGGGTTTTGATGACTTGTTTAGTTGTATTATTTTTGATAGTAATTTATTATTTGGAATGTACAAAATTATCTTCAAATCAAAAGAAATCCTAGTCCAGTTCTTGCCCCCTCTCTGCAACGCAATGTTACTCTCTCGGGAGAGGGACCCACTCCCAAGAGCGTCGCATTGCGTGACTGAGAGGCCAGAACTGAACTAAAGAAACCCTCGAAACAGTAGTTTACTAAGGTAGGAAATATCAAATTGGTAACGATAAACTGAAAAAGGAAAAAGTAAGGTTCATATTGGGAAGATTGTAATTGATCACGAATGACAAAGTTGAAAAGTATGAGCTAAACGTTCTCCGTCACATGAATTCATCAAGTTGCTAACATTTGATTTTCTCTTTCTCACAGCTGGCTGAAGTCGAGAAGCAGCAGCTGCTGAAACAACAGCAGAATCAGAAAAACAGCAAAACCGTCAGGGAAATGGAGCGAATAAACCGAGTGAGTACTAAGGCAGAGTTGCCAAGCAACGTAACCTGAGTGTATGACGTCAGTGCAGGGGCTTTCGGCGCTCGCTCTCTGTTATTATTGTGTAACGAGGACTGGAAACTCCAAGAGGGATTTGCCAGAAATTTAGGGACACTTCGACCACTGAGACTAAGGCTATGTACACACTGGGTGCCCTAGCACTAATTCGTGGGCACCTGCACAAAATTGTGTTGCGTTCAGACACTGGGTTCTCTAAGTACTCAAGTATCAGTTAGTGCCTGAGTACAAGATCGAGACCATGTAACCGGGCACGGTCACGAACACTTGGAAAAAACGGTGTGTTCACATTAGTGCCCAGCGGGAATCCGTACTCGGCACCAAGTGTGAACATAGCCTAAAAGGAAAATGGTGACTTCTGCTCCGGTGAGACGCTTGTCGATCATTCACTTCAGTAGAAACAAGAGCACACATCGGTAAAATAGTTGGAACGATCGGACATAAAATTTAAGGGATACCTTTGTTTCGCGTTGCTACAGTCGTTGTTGTCCTTCTAAATCTTGCTGTAGACGATTTGCGGTCAGGTTGCCAAACCCTTGGCAGCCGTTTTTGTCGATCTTAGCGTCAAGTTTGTTAAATTCCGTTTCTTACCTTTTAGGAACTTCGAGACGAAAACGACGAACTGCGTCTCCAGTGCGAGGCTCTGACTCAACAGGTCAACAGCTCGGTCAAACGACGACCCAGTCATAGGAAACGACAAGACAGCCAGAAGGTGCATCGGCACGGCTCGGTACTCTCCGATTACACCAAGCCCACGGTCATTAAGCGGAATAAGGAGGGTGTGACGTCATCCGATGAGTCAGATACCGCTGACCAGCCAGACGGTACGCGTGTTCCTTCTGTGCGAGTCAGCGGTGATGGCGGGTCAAATGAGGACGCGGGTAAGCAGCACTTGATTGATGCGCGCGCAAATTGTCGTTATCTAATGTGCCCTGTAGTCAGTTCGGTGTTCCAGTTTTCTTGGGTTTTCTTTGTGTGACGGTAGTTAAAAAGCAGTGTATTGGGGATGTTTGTGTGTTTGGGTGATGGAAGTGTGTAAAGCAGAGACCATCTTCAAGCTTGCTACTTGAACAAAGTGTTATTTGTCATCTGTTTCTTTCCACGTTTTTTATGTGCGACGTGATAGTGATTTTCACATCTTAATGTTCTCTTACTTGAGCGAATGAAAACAACCATTTTCTCTGTGTAGTTTAACGTGTGGATGTCAGCTTTTTTTTTAGCTTGAATGAGAAGTAAAAATTACTAATATAAGATGTCATTTTACGTGCAACAGCTGCACCTCGCGTTTTTTTTATTTTTTATTTTGCGCGCTTTGCGTTTGACGCTGTTGAATCAACTTACGTGCTGAATTGTTTGACCTGCCACCCGCACCATCACTGATAAACTACCCAGGTTTATTGGATGGCAATACCGCTAACCAGTGTAATAATAACATTTGTGTCTTACTAATGATATGTTAACTGACTAAACGCACGCACCCTGTACCACGACGACACCTCCATGCACATCAGTCACCTTACGAAGGCTTATGGACTCGTCTGCTGGTATTATTTCTGTACTTCTGGCAACCTTTGACTTCAATTCTTTGACTCATAGCGTGAATTCGACTGCTAAATGAATCCAAGTTTGCATGTGTAATTCGAAGTCTCTCCTGAACCACTTCAAACTGTAAACTTGTCTTCAAGTTTTCAATTCTGCGCTGATTCTATCCCTTCCTTATCTGATGTGACTGTATTCTGCTCGCCTCACTAGAGAGGTCGCAGGTCTTTATGACCTACAGGACACTGAACGTCATCTCGAGAAACTAAAATATTTAGCATAATCAGAGAAAACCTAACAATTTTACTTTGATTTTTTAGAGCGAATTACAGAATCTCATTAGGAAGCAAGGATGACTAACAATGCAAGCAACACTGATAAATTGCACTTTAGACAAACTTGAAAACTTTTAGCTCGGTTTGGCGAATTTTAGCTTTGATTCTTGTCTGAAGAAAGGGCGTGCCATTGCCACGTGGATTCTTGTTGTCTGCGCTCCTTTGGTACTTATGTGTCGTTCCTCTTTGCCTTTTCTGTTCTTGTCTTCATCTTGTTTCTTTGTTTCCGTTTTCTCACTGCAACAGGTCAGTTTACTGATGACGATGCTCCTCCTCTTCCGTGGTCTGTGGAAAGCGATGAACAAATTATCGTTGCGAGAACAGAAGGTTTTTCCCCTGTCTCTTGTTGCTGTTCTGTTGTTTTTGTGCTCTTTTGTCAAGCATTCATTTGGTCCTGTCTCAACTGCAACTCAGAGTTCCTTTACCTTTTCCATTTTAGCTTGCTTTAGCTTTTTTTCCTTTTCTTTCATCGCCTATTTCGCCACGTACTTGCGAAACTCATTTATTTTCTTGAGATTAAGGCTCTGAACTCTTGTTTCTATTCGTTAATTAATTTTTTTTTGACGTGGCTCGATGAGACGTATTTTCTGCTTTCCTTGTGTTCTCTTTCTAAACGTACTGGCTTAGCACATATCACTGGTGTATGAAGATTACATTTTGCTCCCTTCCCGCTGTATTCTACACGGGATTGAAGTTTCTTCGTTCTCCGTTTTGATCAGGGGTTCAGAGAGGAAGTGCGGATCTACTGCACTACAGCAATGAAAGAAATGACTAGAAATAAGATGAACTGCACGAAAAGTTTGCGCATTTGTGTATGGTGTGGCGTTAATGAGTGGAAGCCCTCGTGAATATCTTGTTTAACGATCACTTTATTCTCTTTCTTTCCACAGACGACTCCCCAGAACTGGAAGAAAAACGCAGTAAGTTCTTTGGCAAACATTATAGCTCGTGCTTTTATAGACATGTCTTTTTTATGGTTCGTAATCGGTGGCACGTTTTCTTTCTGCTTCAGAAGTTATCGAGAAGCTTGAGAGCGAACTGAAGGAAAAGGAAGAGCAGATCATGAGCCACAAAGCCAGAGTCGAAGAACAAGAATCTTCGCTTAGCGAGCAAGAAAAACTCCTGTCCGACCAGAAAGTCTCCTTAACGGAGTTCCAAGGGAAAGTCCAACAGCTTGGTGAGCAGGTGAGAGAACAGGAAGCACAACTGAAGGCCAAAGAGGCCACCATCCAAGAACTCAAGAACGACATTGAAAGTCTGACGGGTTCCCTTAACTCTGACAGCCAAGAAACGAGGAAAAGATATGATACCGAGCTGGCGAACCTTACTGCACAGTTTACTGGTGAGATGGAAGGACTACAGAAAAACTTCAACTTAGAGAAAGAACAGTTGGAGAAAGAGTATCAGGATAAGATGAAGGATATGGAACGTTCGCTGAAGAGCGAGCAGGAGAACCTTAAGGATGAACTAGAGAGTGGTTTTAGACAGGAAAGAGAGCTGCTTATATCTGAGTACGAAAGTGAGAAAACTGAGATGGCGGAGGAGCATAGAGGCGAGAAAGAAATGCTCGAGAGGTTGTTTAAAGGAGAGCTGGAGAACGAGAAGAACAAAATGGAAATGGAGGAGAAACGGCTGGTGGAGAAACTACAAGCCATAGAGACGGAAAAGACCGAAGTGGAGCTAAAGTTGATGAACGAGAAAGCAGAACTTGAACAACAGTTTAGGATAGAGAAGGCCGAGTGGGAACTACAGAACAGCACCAAGGCAGCGGCAATGGAGAAGAGCGAATACGATTGGACAATTTTAAAATCGGAACTCGAGAGCGCGCACCAGCAGCAAATAAGTACGCTGGAGAATAAGTTTAAGAAAGAGAAATCCAAAATGGAGGAAGAATTCTCTAACGAAACATGGGACCTGAAACAGGCTCATGTCAAGGAAGTGGGAAGCCTGAAGCAAAGTTTTGTCGAGCAAAAAGCGGAACTTGAGCAGAAATTTGCCCGAGAAAAGGCGGAGTTACGAGAATCGTTTACCCGAGAGAGGAATGAGCTTGAACAGAGGTTTGCCCGAGAGAAGGTCGACTTGAAGGAGAATCTTGAAAATGATCACAATCATACAATGGCGATGAGAGAGGCCGAATTGAAAAACGGTTTCCTGAAGGAAAAAGCGACTTTGGAGAAACAATTCGACGAGGAACGAGTTAAAATCGAGGAAGGCTTTCACGAAAATTCGACGCATAGTGAATTGGCTTTTCAAAAGTGGAAAGCGGAACTTGAAGAACATTACACAGAAGAAAAAGCGAAACTTTTACAGAACGGTGCTCGAGAAAAGGCTGAACTTGAAACACGATATAAAGATCAAATCACCGAGCTGCAACAGGCGTTCACCGATGGAGAGGCTGGGCTGAAAGGGCAGCTCAAAAACGATTTCTTGTGCTTGCTAGCGAAACACAAGGCAGATTTAGAAGAGAGCTTTTCCAAGCAAAAGGCGCAGCTAGAGGAAAGTTACTTGCGTGAAAAGGAAGCATTTGAAAAGAGCGGGACAGTAGGTTTGCAGGAAGTACGGGAAAGCTATTCTCGCGAGAGAAGCGAGCTTGAAGAGAGCTACCAGAGAAAAATCAAGGACCTTCAGAAAAATTACATGCGAGAAAAGCAAGAGCTAGAAGAAGAATATGTACAGGAAAAGATTGCACTCCGGTCGCAGTTAGAGAAAGAGTACGCCACGAAACTGAAAACCGAAACCGGTCTGCTCGAGCAAACTGTTAAACATCTGCAAGATGAGATTAATTTCCTCAAGGAGCAGAAGCGAGAGCTTGAAGCTAAAGTTCAAACGCTCGAGCTCAAAACTTTAACCCGCAGCGACAAAGAAGTCATGGAACTGAAACTAACTCGCGAGAAACTGGTCGAGCTTGAAACCAAGGTAGACTCGCTGGAGAAAGAGAAGGGGCTCATTCTGGAAAACAGCATTAAAGAAATCACAGAACAGAAAGTCCACCTGGATGAACTACAAAGGGAGAAGGCAGCCATGGAAAAGGAAGCTTTGGAAAGAGAAAGAGAACTACTGGAGGCCGAGAAGGTAAGTATTTGTAAAATAATTTTGTTATTTATTCTTACTTACAGCACTCAAACAAAGATAGACTAAGGCCCAGGTCAAACGTCGAACTTCACGAGACGAACTAACTTGCAATTTGAGTCGATCCAAACGGGTAAAGCTCGACCGTTGGGTTAAACGTCGAACTTAATTCGAATTAACAAATTGACGTCAGTTTTTTATGCGTCTGTCCTCTTATTGATGATAAATTGCGTCATAACATTGTCAAAGTGGCTGTGGAACCACGAGCCGCAGTGTTGATCGATTTAAATTCAGTTGGACGAACTCAGTTGAGTCGAACTAATCATGAACTTATTTCGCTCAGTTAGGTGTTTCATGTGAAGTTCGACGTTTGACCTGGGCCTGGGCAATAACATTTGCAGCACCAAAAGGAAATGTTTTTAAGCCATGATATCAACATTCAAATTGTCCTTGCTGGCTCTATACAGTTCCTGTAGAACCAGATTGGGAGAATTTGTTTTGTATGTATGAAGGTAGTATTCTTTCGATCATTCTGTTAATTCTCATTTGCCAGTCGGTGTCCATCAGTAAATAAAATGTAACTGACTTGAGCACTAAATTTGTGCGTCCATTGTTGCTGTGATTTCACAGTCGACGTACATGAGTACAGTTCAAGCTTATAGTTTTGATGGGGAATGAGTAGGTATCAAAGTTAAAACAATAAAAGTTATTTCCATACAAATAGTATTTTTAAATCCTCTGATTAAAAGCTCTGGTTCTCTTATTTTGTTGTAGGCATGTATATTAGTGTTAGAATGTTTTTTGTGGACTACTCTTTATTCTACAGGAAAAAAACTATCCGCCTTCTGGATTTGGTATTTCTACACATATTGTTATTCTTGTTTCCAGTATTTTTATTATCTATTCCCTGAGCTGTGGATTTGTTAGTTTTTGTTTATGACATCTAAGTAAGGTATTGGCGCTTTATTATCAAAGGTGAAGAGTGAAGGAATGGGAAGTGAAGTCAAGGAACTTAAACTTAAGGTCGACGAGATGGACGTGCTTTTAAATCTTCGAGCCTCCGAAGTCGACGATTTAGAAGCGAAAGTTCGCGAGCACAGTTCGGAAAACGAGAAGCTGAGAGAAACTTTCGGGAGCATGGAGCCCGAGCTTCAAGAGACCAAACTGAGAGTTCAAGAACTGGAAGTCAGTTTAAATTTAAGCATTTCAGAAAAAGAACAGCTACAGGAGAAATTAAAGGAGAGAGACTCTCAGCTGAATGGTTTGGCTTCAACCGAGACCGAGCTTAAAGATATCAAGAACAAAAGTCAGGAAATAGAGGACATGTTACGCACTCGCGATCGTGAAAACCAGGAATTGAACAAGAACCTACTGGAAAACAATTCTGAGCTAGAAAACGAAGTGGCGGAGCTCCAGAGCGATTTGAGAAAATCCATGGTCAAGACGAAAGAGCTTGATGCGTTATTAACTGTCAAAGAAAGTGAAAACCAGGCGCTGGAGAAGAAGGTCAATGAGTTCAACAAACAGAAGACCGAGCTTGAGGACAGGATCTCTCAGCTGGTCAATCAGCTGGCAGATGCAGAAACAGTTCGACTCCAAGAACTGCAAACGCGCGTCTCACTCTGGGAGACTGAAAACAAGGATTTGGAACAAAGGCTGAACCAGCGCAACAATCACAATTTCGAGTTGGAACAGAAGGTGAGACAGCTGACTCAAAAGATCGCAGACAAGGATGACATCAGGGTGAAGGAACTAGAGCGCATGCTTGCCGTGCGGGAAAGTGCGTACCAGGCCCTCGAGGGAAGATTCGAGCAGCGCGGGGACGAAACAGGCCAACTAGAGAAACAAGTAACACAGCTGACTCAAAAGCTTGCTAACATGGAAAACATCAGACAGAAGGAGTTTGAGGCAGAGCAGGTCTCGTCAACTGTTGGTCTTTATTTTGTTCTTTTGTAGCATTGAAATTGTTTTTAGCAAAATGCAGCTAAATTTAATGCCCCACTCTGCTAATATGCACAAAATCCTGGCCAGATATTCGCTACTTACGCTTACGCTGGTTTCACGTTGAAAGCACTGCTTCTCTTCTAACAATAGTTTATTGCTTGATAGCTGCTAACTTAGTAAGCACTCACTGCCTTATAACTCAATGCTTTGTCACTTGTTTTCTTTGTGTTCCAACTCTCTCACGCATTCTTTTCTATCACCAGCTACAAGGACTTTTGATTACTAATGTGTGACTGCGCTTGACGTTACTTATATGTGTGATAGTGCGTGAATTACTCGTGTGTGACTGCACTTGACGTTGCTAATGTGTGACAGTGAGTGACTTACTAATGTGTGACTGCACTTGAGGTTACTAATGTGTGACTGCACATGATACGGAATAAATTTCCGCGGACGGCTTCTTGTAACCGACCAATGAAAAGCCAAGTTTTGCCAAACTGTGGACTGGAACCTGGTACACCTGAGATTAAACGTAACACCTTCGTTTCTGCCCTCAATTAATACCCTAAACGACAACTTGTAAATAATAACAATGTAAGATAAGATAAACTTTGCAAGACTCGGAAACTATTTACTACATAACTTGCACGGAGTGTTAAAAAGCGACAATTTAAGAACGTTAGCAGATTTAATGAAAAAGAGAATAGCTATTTTGTAAAGGCATGAAACAATCTAGCGTGACATGACGCCAGGTTTAAATTAATGATGTTTTAAGTTCAGACTTTGAGAGAAATAAACTGCTAAGGTACTCTTGTAACTAAGATTTTTGTTTCGTAAGAATTGTAAATCGCATTATTCAATAACAACAGCAATAATTAACCTTTAAATAATCTAGTTTGCGAATTTGTCTTACGGCAAGTACTAAAAGGTTTTATACGGAAGTTAAATCTTGACAGCATTGAAACTTTTAAATGTTAAATTTTGTTGTTTCTGTTTTTC